TTTTTTTTTCTGTGTGTCTTCTTCAATTTATTTCATTAATGAAAAAAACTCTATGTAATTTTCAGTGTGGAACTCTTTGGTTAAATTTATTCTTAGATTATTTATTAATGTATTTACTTTGTGGTTATTATTAATGGGATTGCTTCTCTTTCTCAGTTTAAGTTCTGTAGACTACCTTTCAAAGACTTACTTAGAAAAACTATATCTACAATTTGGATAAATTTCATTTAGCTAAGTTTCCAACTGACAGAAATAACTGAGAAGGAAATATAAAATGTATGTATGGATGAGCACAATTTAATCAGCTCTTCTCATATTTAAGCCCAAAGAACATTAACATTATAGAATGTCAAAACTTGCATATATTAATAGAGATGACCTGACTGGATTTTCAGGCTGTATCTCATATTATCTTTATTTGATTTAAGATAGAAAAATAGGATAGTTCTACATTAGAACTAAGTAAAGATCAAGTGACAAAATTGGTTCAAAGTGTGAACTAGAACATTTCAGGGTTGTATTATAAAAACTACTTCAAGCAGTTGATTTTAAAAATGTACTCTAAAGCTATTAAATTAATCACCATAAAAATGTGCCGATCATAAAATGTGCCGATCATTATACTTCACAAAATGACACTCTTAAGTTCTTTATAAATCAAGTCTGAATTGCAGTCATGTTACATAACAATGCTTCATTGTTTCTAAATCTTTTTTTCTCACAGTAAGTGTAGCCTGTCCAACAGTGGACTGTATGTATCACAGTGATCCCATGACATTATATTGCCTACTTAGTAGCCATTTTAGTTTGTATAAGTACACTCCATGATGTTGACATAATGACAGAAATCACAAGATGACATTTTTCTCACAACATATTCTTGTTGTTAAGCAACACATGGCTATATATATTTGTGTTCTTTGGTTGATTTTTATTTTGTTTTGTGTTTTGTGTTTGTGTGTGTGTGTGCATGTGAGTGTATGCACCACACACTGGGAATTATCTCAGGGTTTCACACATGCTAGCCAAGCTTTCTTACCATTGAGGTACACTCCCAGTTCCCACATTCATTTTTTTTTTTAACCGGGATCAAACTCAGGACCTTGCGCTTGAGAGGCAGGCAGTGGAACCACTGAGCTAAATCCCCGGCCCCCCCACATTCATTCTTGATATTAGCTTGTTCCACCTTTCTGACAAAATATAAACCCAGTGTCATTTATCAGGTCACAAGAGCATTGGTAAAAATATTCCTCTGCCTTTATAGACTCAGTACAGAAGAAAATAAGCTAACCTGTTCTTGAAAGTGTGCTGGCCCGAGCTACCTGCCAAATAGCCTTTAGTCCCTTTTCAACATATTAATAAGCATTTTAACACCTATTTTATGCAAGACATAGTGTAATTATGAGAAAAGAATTATTTACATATATGGCCTCTCCCTGTATGGGGGTTAAACTATTATAACCTAAGCTTATACTCAACTGCAGAAAGATGAGTAGGTATATCATTGTGCTCTTGGTACAATAATGTTGTGTAACAAATTAGTCTAAAAATATGGCAGCTTTAAACAATCATTTTTTTTTTCACTTATGCCTCTCAGGTGGGCTAGAGATTGATTGATCTCTGCTGTGCTTGGCTAGGCTTGGCACAAGCTGACAGCTGACTCCAGATTGCCCTCATTTCTATCATCCTCTTTGGACCAAGGGTCATACTTTCTCACAGTGTTGACAGGTGCAAAAAAAGAGAAGCCTAATTACACAAGGATATTTTGAACTCTTACTTGTAGCATGTCCATGAATATTGCATTGGTCAAAGCAAGTCAGATGTCCAGACCTAGTATCAAAGGCAAAGAAGTATATTCTGCCTCTAATGGCAATAGTTGCAAAGTTTGATGCAGGCCTAGTGGGAAGGGTGAAAAATTCATGCCAGTATTTCTTTGTGCCACAGGCACATCTTGGAAAACAGCAGCTGGAGATACTCACTAGTTCCCTACCACCTTTGCTGTTGAACCATTATGGCAAGGTAAAAAGCCTGAGTCACCAGAGGTGGTTTCACCTTACCTTTGCAAGGAGACACTGGGCTATTGCATCTTGAATGTTGAAGGCATGGGTTCAGAATCCTCATTGTAACATTAAACTTGTTTGATTGAATGATTTGGGGAGATGATGTAAAGGTAAGAGACTTCCCAGCTTTATTGTGATGGAGAAGCAGCTACTTTTATAAGTGTGTAAGTTGTAGGTGAGCTGCTAATAGTTTATGTGGTTTGTTGGCATTGGAGAGGTATGGAGAAAGAGCAAAGACATCATTACGCACCCCTGTTGTCAGTATCCCCCCAAATATATTTACTATATCTCAGCTGTTATCGTACCAGTTTATACTGTAGGAAGAGAGTGCTACAACAGTTTCTAAATTTTGTGTAGCCATGTGCCTTGGCTCAGAGAAAGGTTTTGAGTGGATATTTCTATTTAGAGTCAGTTCTTAACCAAATGGCCTGTCTCAGTGGACATACTGTTGGAGTCTCTGGGATTATTACCACCCTAAGAGCAGTTGTGGAATACATATAGATTTGAATCTTTTAAGAAAATTAGACTATTGTAATACAAAGGGTACATATAATGACTGTTTTATAAATAATTAATAAAATTAAGAGAATATTTGTGTTCAGAATATGCAGGAAGGGAATGAAAATTATACCTTACTGTTGTAACATATAAAAGGCTGAAAATTACCCATGAATGTTTTTAGTAAGGAAACAAGGAATATCCAAACATCCTTCCAAGCAAGAATCCCATGAATTTCTCTTAAAAGAATATAATTTCAGGGCTGGGGATTTAGCTCAGTGGTGCTGCCACCTGCCTTGAGGCCCAGAGGAGTTCAATCCCTGGTACCCTCCCAAAAAAAGAATAGAATTTCAAAAAATAATATAATTTTTTCATTTTTAATTGCTATATTTTCTGATTTCTTTGTTTCTCTTTAAAATAAGACATTAAAATTATGTTGCACACTACCTATTATATCATGGGTATTTAATAAATAAATGTTTATTCCTTGTTTTGGTTTTTGGTTTTGAAACAGGGTCCTGCTATGTAGTAGTCCAGGCTGGCCTTAAACTCATGTATCCCACGCTGGCCTTGAATTAATGGCAGTCTTCGTGCCGCAGCCTCCCAAGTGCTAGGATTACAGATGTGCACCACCATGCCCAGCTAACTGATTTCTTTTTACCTTATTAATAAACTTTTAAAAAGTTGTCCATTCTTCTTATGGGTATAAACAGAAGAAACGTTTTTATCAAGTGAAAAGAGGTAGAAAAATAGAGTAAACCATTTTACTAATAATAAAGCTTTGCAAAGATGAAATGTGATGTCTCAGGAGGTTACATGTTCCTGTCATTGGATGTATTCAAACAAAAACTATCCAACCACCTTGAAAGAGAACAAAGTTGAGCTTTAGATAAGCATTGGATTTAGCAAGCTTTGAGAAACAGTCTGTCCCTATAACTCTAACACAGATATTCTCTTAAGTGTTACATGATACATACTTTTGTAAAATGTTTGTTGTGTCATCTTCTTTCCTACAGACTAGTGATAGTGAACTTTTTAGAGCTTTCAGTGATCCAAACAGCCCACTGTGGCACCACCACCACTATAGACTGATTAAAAACCATAATAAAAATATTGTTATGGCACAGTGCCAGGCTTAGTGGAGGGGCTGGGGGACTCAGGGCATAGTTCAGTGCAAAGGCCCTGAGTTCCATCCTGAGAACCACCACATAAAATAAAATGTTACATTTGAGCCAGGCATAACTGTAATCTCAGCCCTTGAGAGAAAGAAGCAGGATCACTTGGAGTTTGAGGCCAGTTTAGGCTACATACAGAGTTTAAGATCAACCTAAACTACATAGTAAGGCTCTGTCTCAAAAAAAAAAAAAAAAAGTAGTAGTATTTATTGGGTGAATAAATGAACAAATCAGTGAATGTGTGTCATTACCCAAGGTCAGTCACTATAAACAACTTATTTATGAGGTTAGAGATATAACTTTACTTACATACCTATGCTGAGAAAATTTTAGGTTGTTTCCTCTTGCTCCTTTATTTTTATAAAAAGCTCAATTATAATTATCTGTTAGATAAGGGGGTATATATTATTGGTGTATTCAAGGAGGATCATAATGTCATCTATAATCTCAACACATAATTTCTCATATACAAAAGTACTCTCTAGGAGTTAGGTGAAAAAATATTTAAGACCCAAAAGCCGGGCCTGGGGATTTGGCTCAGTAGTTCTGCTGCCTGCCTTGCAAGCGCAAGGAACCAAGTTCAATCCCTACTCTGGTACCAAAAAAAAAAAAAGAAAGAAAAAAGAAAAACAAGACCCAACAGCCATAGAAAGATAATCTCACTCTCACCTATTTAAACTCTCACTAGGGATAAGTTGACAAATATTTTCAAGTATCTAAAATATACTTTAATATTTCTTATAATTTGCAGCATTCATGTAAAATGAATTTTTCATGTCACTGTTAATTTTCAAGTGAAACCCAATTACTATTTAGGTAACATAAAGAAATATCATGTTTGTTGCCTTTATTACAGCTTTCATGATTCAGCATTCAGAAGCAAATGGTATTTTAAGGTGGTGGCCTGGCAATCTTTTGTTTTGTTTTTTTCACTGTAAATCTGAACTTTTAGCATTAGCTACTATATGAAGTGAGACTTTTATGTATGTTTAGATTACTTGTTTCTGTCTGAAATAGGAAATGTTACAACCTTCTGTTTAGTGTAATAGAATATCTTTAAAAGCACAGATTTATGATGCCCTGTCTTAAACTAGCAAGTATTTTTTAAATTTACTTGGTTTTTTTAAAGGCATAAAAATAAATGTATTATATATTGTGCATATATATTTTGTACTGGAATAAGCCCTGATTCTAAAGTTTTGGTGAAATAAGCTAGATGAAAGAAGCTTTTTAAACTTACTCTAACTAATGTTTTCTGTCTCATCAGCCACCAGCTCTGCCCACCTGGAAGACCTTGCTTACCTGGATGAGCAGAGACATACACCTTTGAGAACTTCTCTTCGAATGCCAAGGCAGAGTATGGGTGGAGCACGCACGCAGCAGGATTTAAGAGGTTAGAAGCATGGGAGGGCTTTGGCACGCAGGAGAACAAATGGATATGGCAACTGTTAAAAAGTTCCTCTTTATCCTTCTATTTTAAAACTATTTTAAAGACGCCTTTGAAATATGAGATGATCAGGGCCAGGGATGTAGCTAGCAAGCATAAGGTCCTGAGTTCAATCCCCAGTACCTGGAAGGGAAAAAAATGAGGTGATATATTTTAGAATGAAAGTAATTCATTCCACAAATAGATTTTACTTATTATAGATACACGTTGTAATCATCAGTAGTTATAAGCATCAGTTCCTTGCATTCCTGAAAGAAAACAAAGGTATAGCGTAGGTGGTAATGGAGAAAATAATGTTTTTAAGATCCTGGATTTCATAAGTGACTGATTAATTTCATTTTAAACCATATTACTGGTAGATTTTATGCAAATAATCATATATTTTTCTAGAGAGTTTCATTTTCATTCTAGTGGCTTTTTCTAGGAGCATGCAGTATTTTTATTTTCTTAAGTTTCATATAGTATTGCTAACACTTCCTGGCAACATTTAAATAATTTTTTCTTTTTCCAGTTAAGCATCTGTTTCCTTAACTTCTTTGTGGCATGCTGTATGTTTCTGCAAGCAGGAACCTGATCTTTTCAAAGACTGGCATTTTGTTATAATAATGGTCTCGTTGAGGGTTCTGTTGGTGTTTATGCCTCCTGTTTGTTCAGAATAAACCAAGCTATCTCTGATAGCTTTAACATGTAGTCAGCTTTCATCTAATATCTAGCAGTCCATACTTCTACCACATGAAGTGAATTTGCTTTTTTATCCTGGAGTCTTTTCATCTTGTCTTTGCTCCCCTTTTTCTCCCTTGTCCTATGTCCTACTCTGAGCAGTGTAATACCACATGCTTACCTCCCACAGAAAGGAATCTTTACATGCCTGCTGTCCATTGTACTGACAATTTCATTGTTGGCTAAGTAAATGGCATAAAATAATTCATAGTATTGCTATAATTACAAACTTCAATCAACCATCATTGATAGCCTCAGTCATTGTTTCAATTCTTTTGTCCATTTTGCTTGCCATTTCTTCACTTTTCTATAAACTGTTTGTTTCCTATATGCAGCTATATATTTTCAGTATAGGAAATGAAATTATATCAAGTACTACTTTAGATTGTTAATATCCAAAGCCTGAAGAAACCTAATCAAAAAAACCAAATAATTTGTTTTAAATCCACAGTGCCCAACCATAATAAAATTGACACAACTACTGGCTTATGCAGACCATCAGATTTGTTTGAAAATATGCCACACTGATGTCACCTTGCATTTTATCACTGAAAAACAAACTGACATTTTTGTATTATTTTCTGCTTTGCTCATAATGGAGGTATTATACTATGTAGGACAGAAATTGACAAATTTCTGTTCTATTATTTTTTGAGAATCTTTCATTTGATTCTTACTGATACTTGATAGCCCATTGTTGCTTCTAGTATCTAAAGATTTCATAAGATTTTGTCAGATACATTCTGATGAGTTTAATGTTTACAGACATTATCTAGAATAGTTTTCCATTGTATTGAGCTTCTTTTTTTTTTTTTTGGAACTGGGGATTGAACTCGGGTCTTTGCGCTTGCAAGGCAGGCCACCAAACCGCTGAGCTAAATCCCCAGCCCATGTATTGAGCTTCTTTTTTTTTTTTTTTGGAACTGGGGATTGAACTCGGGTCTTTGCGCTTGCAAGGCAGGCCACCAAACCGCTGAGCTAAATCCCCAGCCCATGTATTGAGCTTCTTCTTGGACACTCAAATCAAGCAAAGTACATCCAAGAATTTTTCCAAAGCATACCTACATCTTTAGGAAGCTCTCTGCCTGAACAGTGCATGTATAATAATATTAATTTTATAGCCCTTGCAAAAGTATCTCAGTTTATTGTTTACCTTAACACTTAAGCTGAAAGTTATCCAGTGATGAAGGTGCTATAACTTTAGTGTTTCAGTTCCTTGAAGTTGTCTTTGTTTTTTAAGAGCTTTCCTCTTAGCTATCTAAATAATTAGAATATACCATCCAGGGACGTAATTATCCATAAGAGACAGGGTGTTTACTTAGCCTTCTAAAATTAGCATACTCTAATTCAGAATTGAGAGACCCTAGAGAACAATCTTCTCTCAAAATGTAACCTGTTAATCTTGATTACTGCTTACAAATGACTTGTAGGGCTTATGATATGATTTAAAGCACATTAGGAGAAAAGAAATCAAACTTAGAAGCTTTCCTTAGGTTTCTATATATTTACTTGACAAGTCTTTTTAACTTATATCCAAAGCATTGTACCTTATTTTAAGAAAATGATCACATTATTTTTTTGGCATGATTGTAAAAAACATCATACTTTCAAAAAAAAACTGAATAAAAAAATCATATTTTCTGATTTTTTTAAAAGAACATACAAATTACAGGCATACTTCAGCTTTATTTTTTATTCTGGTTATGGTTGAAATACAATTATCTTATTCTCTCCAGAAATAATCTTATTAAAAACTTTAGTATGCATGAAATATGTATTTCCACATTAGAATAGAGGTATATCATTCTACATTTTAAAGTATTACTCAAAGACATATCAAATAGGTTTTTTTCTTTCATTCTGTGTGTGTGTGTGTGTGTGTGTGTGTGTGTGTGTGTGTGTATTAGGGATTAAACCTTGGGCCTTCACACTGAGTTACATCCCCAGCCCTTCCTTCAGTTTTTGTTTTATGACAGAGTCTCACTAAGTTGCTAAGTTACCCAGGCTGTGCTCCTGGCACTTCTGCTGCCTCAGCCTCCCATAGTGCTGGGATTATAAATATGTGCCACCACACCCCACTTGAAAATAGTTTTTTATTGCAAGTCTAGTTTTAAATGATTCTGAGTCGTTAGACATGATAGTTAGTGGTCATGTATATATAGCATATCCAAGGGGGTACTAAGTTTATTGACTGACTGATTCCAAGTAGAAAGACTGAAATAATGTCTAGTAGATACATCTCTGAAAATTAGTTGAGATGACAAACATTTCTTAGGAGCTTTATGTAAAGTCTTGCATATTCTGTTTAAAGCACTGTTTCTCCAACTTTTTGACCCTAGGGTCCCTTTATACTCTTAAAATTGTTTTGAAGATCCTAAAAATTTTATTTATATGAGTTAAGTTGGCATTTACCATATTAGAAATTAAAACTAATATGTCAAGTGGTAGTTTTTGTTAAAATATAACAGGTTTTTAAAATAACAGGGATTGCCGGGCGTGGTGGTGCATTCCTGTAATCCCAGCACTCTGGAGGCTGAGGCAGGAGGATCACTGTGAGTTCGAGACCAGCCTGGGCTACATAGTGAGTTCCAGGTCGGTCTCAACTACATAGTGAGACCCTGTCTCAAAAAAACAAAACAAAACAAAAGTAATAATTAAATAAAATAACAGAGATTGTTAAAAATAATCCTTTTTAATAAAAAAGTGAACTCATTATTTATATTTAACATTGTGTAGCTATGAAAAAGTCCACTGTGTAGTTGTGAGAGAATGACAGTGGAAGAAGAAAAATAACCTTGTAGTATTGTAAAAAGAGCTTTGACATTGAGGACTCCCATAGAAAGTCTTCCGAACCTACAGGAGTCCCGTTCCACACTTTAAAAACCACTAATTTAGAGGGTGTTACTATAATTGAAAGTAAGATTTATGCCTTAAGGACCATACAGTCTGTTTACAAGAATGGAAAGAGTGTATTTTGAGAGCTTATTAGAAGTTGTTCATGAATCTGGTTTCAGAGTACAGGCAAATTCATTTAACAAGTAAGTACCTCAGTAATAACTTCTGTAGTAGTCTTTTGACTGCTGAGGCAGAACTTGTGGAGTTAACACCACGCTAGAATTTGGATTGTCATGTTAACATTAACATTTGCTTTGTTAGTAAAAAAAAAAAAAAAAATTTTTTTTTAACTTTTCAAAACAACTGTTTTGAACAACTGTTCTACCAATACTGATGTTTCCAGAAACCCAGCCCAACAATAGGGAGAAGGTCATCTAAGTACACTCTCCAAGATCCCCTTGCAGCAAGTTATCAGATTTCTAGCTGTCAGCCGTCCAAGAGCTTGAGCTCTAACACTAAACACTATGAGCCGTTTCCAGTCCTAAAGCCTATCTTTGATAGATATTAAACTGAATTAATTTAATTTTTTTAAATTTTTAATTCAAAGTTTTAAAATTAGTTGGAAATTCTATTTTGAATTTAATCACCATTTTGTTAGAATGAAGTTATGCTAGAAATTATCTGCCTAAAACTTATTGACTACCTTAATGAAATGTCTCATTCTATAGAAAAAGCAGAAACTGTGTTTGCTACCTATCAAAAACACTGAAGAGATAATTGTTTTTTAGTGATAAAGGCTGTCAATCTAATGACAGAATGTAAAAAGAGAACTCATGAAAAATTTAAATGCACAAAGCAAATGCAGATAGTAGCTACCTATGGTAAGTTAACTTACTAATGAAAAGACCCTAACCTACCTGGTGTTAAATTATAGCCACACTATTCTGTTTTTAAAATATTACATTTATTAATTAAAACTTTATTTCTCAATATAAATTGGTTTCCTTAGGACTTTCACTAAATTCTGTTACATAAAGGCCATTCAGAGGCTTTGTGTTTAGTTAATTGCTGCTTTAATAGACACAAGGATGGAGGGCTTTTGTGCAGATGATAGTCTGATTCATTGGCAGAATTTATGTGAAATTGGCCCTGCCACAGTTAACTTGGCTTTGTCAAAACAATGAGTTTAATTTTTATCAAATAAAATCAGTGCTTCACATCATTTCTAAGTCCCTTACTTTCCTGAAACAGTGAATCCTTTCTGGAGCTGACTAAGATGCATGTCATGAAGCTAAGTGCTCTTGTATTAGCCCACTGAGTCATACATCCCTGAGGCTGGTTAGTCATCTCAATTATTGCCTGGCTGGCTCTCACATTTACAGAGGGATATT